AATACTATCAATTGAACCAACTAGAAATTAGCTATTGATACTTTATAAAAATTTTGTTAAAATAAAAGATGATTTTTATAAAAATCCAATTAAATTAAAATAATAATTTAAACCATTTTTTTAAATTATTATATAATTTCAAGCAAGGAATCATCACAAATAATCAATTTAAATAAATTTCAAAAATAAATAAATATATTTCTATATACAAGTACATCTTCATAAGTTGTAATGTCAATTCTTTTAAAAAATGAGAAGTCGCTGTTATATTTTATTTGGAGCTTTCGAATGCGGCCTGCTTTTGATGAAAACTTGAAAGCTCGTCAAGCACCAATAGAAATAGATATATTAATTTTATCCATCCATTTGGCTGATCTTTCCAATAGCCACAAATGTATCCAAATATTATAAATATTTGAAGAATCATCTTCAATTCAATCCATGCATCCATTTTTAACTCATAAATCCATTCTTTGTTTGCTACGCCAAAATGGTCTTTGTTGACTTATAAAAGTTATTTACATTTTAAATCAATTTTTTTCTGGTGAATTGAATATTTCTGGGTCTTCTTACACATTAAATAGTGACTTTCTTTATAATAACAATATTATATTTTAAATATCTTGAATGAACATTTTTCAATGCAGTTCTATGAGTTGGAATTCTATTTCGTCCAATGTACTGCATTAAAATTATACCATGTTGATTTTGGCATTTCTCCTTTTGCATTTTTTGTGAACCTATAATATTTTAAAAAATTATCACTGAGCAAACAAATTAATTCAAAAATTTATTATAAGAAAGCAATATTTTTAGGCCTGATCTGTACGTCAGGTTGTATTTACATATGATAGATTTCTACTTTACTGTAAAATCGAATAAAGGAAAACAATTTTAGTTCTGAAGGATTTTTTAGATAAAACTTATAAGCCTGTTCTCAAATAAGTTTTCTCTACTATTTTATAACCTTTCTCATGAAATACAGGGGACCAAAGGTAAAAAAAAACAGTTGATCAGATTATTTTAGGTTTTGTCGTCTGGTGGGTTTAGGCTGGTGTCTTGTTTTTTTTTTTTAGATACAAGAATTGATATTTATTTTGACTTAACCTAGATATTGCTGAAAAAGCAATCAATTGCCAAACAAAATTAAAAAAAAACTCTAATAATGGCATAAGGACTGTTCTGCTTGTAACTTCATTCTTATTCTATAAGAGATTCATTACCATTCAAAGTGGATGTTAGAAGTAGCATTCAATTATTTTTATAAATTTAACTCATTTTACGAGTTGAAATTTGCTACATTGAGGCAGTTGGTCTTTTAAAACTCAGTACTACTTTGATATTGCCAGGTTGAATTTTTGGTCAATTGTTGCTGGCCAACACATCTAATTAAAATAGATGCTTACTTTGTCAAAAAATTATATCCACTTACCTTCATTTTATTTCCAAATATATCGGGAGTTGGCATCAGCTGGAAGAGAACAAGAAAACCAGGTTTCCGTCTTAGTTTCACCATTTTGGTTACCTGTCCCTATGACAAATCGCATATTGTCCTGAAACACAGCTTTGCGGTGCATTGAGAAATTGCAGTCATGTTGATTGGAAAGATGTAAAGGAACATCGGGCCCATTTCTTCGAATGCTTTGCAAAATGGTGTTTGAAAACATGTAATTTGTTATAGGGACAGGTAACCAAATTGGTATCTTCTATCCCGAAACCAGGATGTCTGCCCTTTCTTCTCCAGCACCAATAAGGAAATAATCACATCTTTCCATTTCCGATTAGGAAATAATCACATCTTTCCATTTCCGATTAGGAAATAATCACATCATTGTCCAAGTCCAGTATCACTTATTGTGAGGAGTTTTTTTTGGTTCCAATTTGGCTCAAATTGGAAAAACTTGCGTCCAGCTCATAAATCTGTAATAAAATGTGTGATTGTAAGAAAATCTAACAATGTAGCATTGATTGCAGTTAAATTGATATCCCGAATCTTCAGAATTTTGCCATCAGAGGTTATTTTATTCAGGCACATGTGATCAGGATAATGTAGCTATGTGCTGACAGTAATACCATAATTATTGTGTTTTGTTGATTTGTGGAAAAGTTTGCCAATAACCCCCAGGTTGATCTATATTTTATAGTGTATGAACAAGGTTGCTCTGTTGACCACATGGATTTTGTAATAAATTGTATATAATATAATAATATATTTATTGTGTTCTCTTAATATAATTTCTCAAAGACAAATGGGATCTTTCTGTCCCGCACCTACCCTATAAATCATTTGATAATAGAAAAATTCTCAAATGTTGACAAAATTTCAAAAAAAAAAAAATATGCAGACTTTCATAAAAATTTGAAGATTTTTATTTTCAAAGGTGCAAATTTTTGATTTCGAAAAAATTCTTGAGTAAATTTTATAGAAAACACGATTTTCTAAGAAAACGTTCAAGATTCATAAAGAAGAAGAAAATTGAAGATATTTTTAGGATATTGAAGGATGGATTGGATGAAGAATGAAGGTTTTGAAGAGAAAATATCTTGAGGGAGAAATGAAGAAGTTGGAGAAAGAACAAAAATTTGGAAAGAAATTAAATATCTCCAAATAAATATTTCCAAAGTTAAATGAATATCACAGTAGAAAAATGATTACCCGTGAAAAATCAGCTTTAAAGAAAAATGAACATATTCAAAAAATATTCTGCTAATCAAGAGGATTTAATTTCTAGAATTTTCATACATAATGTAACATGTGGTTGGTTTTATGTAGTAAAATTTCCTACTTACAAGAATTCCATTTGATATGTCTTGAATTCCTTTCCATATCTCCGAATTTCCAATTGTCATATGTTTGGTTGGATAATTTTTATTTTTTTATTATAAAAATTTAGAAGGTTATATAAAACGGTTAAAGTGCTTTTTTAAAAATTGTAATGTAAAATATTTAATTAAATACGCGTAGAATAGAAAACTTTAAAAATATATGTCGAGAAAAATTTTGATTAATATAAAATGTTTTAGTCAAGATACGTTTTTGTTTTCCGGTTGCTTGATATGAATATGGAAAATTGTTTTAATAAATCGCCTTCTTGATTTTAAAAATATGAGCCAAAACTTGACGTTTCGTTGGCGTTTTTTCTAAAACCGTTTGCAAACAATTGAATTAATTTTATTTTGTTCAAAATTCTGAATTGATTTTAAAAATTTTAAAACTGACAGATATTGTTTAGGAATCGTGCTGGCCAGTTTTTTTTTTTGAGAAAGATCGGCCAAGTCCTTCGTAATTTTTTTCATTGTGTTTATTGGTTGTAATAAACATACTAAAATTTGGCTTTTACAAAATAAACCTGATGGGGTATGTATTAGGTGTGTGTTTGTGTTTCAATAATGTGTAATAACTAGTGGTGCATGGCATCGTGCCTTAAGGCAAATTGCTGGAACTTTCCGTACAGATTTTTTTTTTACTTTTTTAACTTTCTAGATTTTTTTTAGAACTTTGAAAAAAAATTATTTTCGAGATTTTAAATTTTTTTGAAAAATATTGACCTTTTTAAAAAAAATATTTTTCTTTATACTTTGGCGTAGAAACGAAATATCGAAGCGCGTGGGCGCCGCGTCGCAGAATAACATAAACATTGGTACGGATTGCATAGAAATGCAAACAAAATTTGTTCTTATTATTAAAATCTCTAATATCTGATAATTTGATGTGCATATTCTAATGAACATTTTTGATCGCCAAATGACATTTTTTTAACATTTTTATCGCCAAATGACATTTTTTTAACATTTTTTAATGAGAGTTTATAACCGCTTGGCCTCCCTTTCCAAAAATGTAAACAGTTCTTTGTTTAGTCAATACAAATAAAATGTTTTTTGAATTATTCGAATCGAACGTTTTGTTATCTTAAAAACTTAATTACCATTTTTGGTTTTTTTGCCCTCTTCAAAACGGCTAGACCTGCTTTGCCAAAAATTAATCGGCATGTCTTCTTATCAATGCGAATCGTATGTTGTTTAAATCATTCAAATCGGTTGATTCGTGTTCTCGAAATCTTCCAACGAATTTTGTATATATACATCAATTTTTTCTGAGGTATGCCAAAATGTTCATAAATCTTTGAAACGTAAAGATATATAATTATAATTATATATAAAAATAATATAATTTCTAATTCAATAACTTCAATGATGTATAGAAATAACAAATCTCTGGCACTCGACTCTTATCTTGTCTTATCTGCCGTAACTCACTTCCGTTGCATTGAAGGGATTCACACCCTAGTCGCGCCTAAAGAATTTTTACTTCAAAAATTATTTGCGATTTCTATAACTTACCCTAGGTGAAGCTAAAAATTTATATCACTACTTATTGATATCAGGTTACGCAAGGTGGAATTTGTCAAATTTGGAAATATAATTCGCCATGGCAAATTGTCTCGTCCTTTGGTAATACCCTTACGTTTATTTCTGAAAACAAATACCGTTTTTTCGTAATGCAGTCCTAATACGATACGATATTTCTTCTAACAATTACATTTAATTACAGCCGTGTAGCTATTATTACTTGTATTATTATTATTGCAGTAAAGCCAAAGTCGTGTCATTTCAAAATTTCAAAATTGCCATTTACAGTTATTGTCTTTAATAACTCGAGTGCGTGTTATGACTTTTATAATGACACGGTACACCATGCCGACGTCTATTATTTGTATTTACCGATTTTTCAGAAGATTCATTATGCAATTTGAAGACACCGGGAAAAAATTGATGCTATCATCATTTGACATATGAGATATAGAAATTGTATTATTTGGTATTAAAATACAGGGACGGACTGGGATATGCATTTATTACGTAGTTAGGAAGAAATGGTTTGGATGGTCATCTCGTAAAACTAATCATCTCGAGTTCTTATCGAGGCAAAGGTTGAAGGCTAAATTCCACTTTAGTTTAGTTTAGTACTGAAGACGAACCCAATTCACAGTATAAAATCTATGGCCAAATTTACAAAAACAAATATAAGTAGTACGAAGTCTATGGTCAAATTACAAAATCTTGCTATGAGAGGTAAGAATAAATACTTATCCAACTAGTAGTGCATGGCATCGAGTCTCGGAAAAAATTCAATTTTATTTTTAAATTCAAAATAGTAAAAAAAACATTGTTTTTAAAAGTTATAAGATTCCCAAAAATCTAATTATTTCAAACTTATCACAACATTTTAAAGCTCCTTTACTTTGCCTTAAGACGATGCCACGCACCACAAGTTATAGTAATCGTAACTAGTGAGGCGCATGGCATCGTGCCTTAAGGCAAATTGCTGGAACTTTCCGTACCAAATATTATTATTTATTTAAAAAAGTAAATTTTTGTCAAATTTATTGTTTCTCAAAAATTTAATTTTTTTGAAGTAAATTTTTTTTTAAAATGTTATTAATTAAAAAAAAAATACTTAGAAAAATTTAGATTTTCAAGAGAACTATAAATTTGACAAAAATTAACTTTTTTTTGTAAAAAAAAATTTTTTTTTGAAAAAAAAAGTTTTCTTAATTTTGACATATTTTGGAAATTTTGAACTTTTTTCAAAGCAATCGTACTGCTTTAACTGCATATAGACAAAGCGCGTAAGCGCTGCGTAGCCGTCTATGGGATAAACATTGGTACGGAACCCAAAGGAATGTAAACAAAATTTTTAAAATCTCTATGAAATATCTGACAATTTGATGTCCATATGTCTAACGATCATTTTTGACCGCCAAATGGCATTTTTTTACTTTTTTCACCAGATCTCCGAAACCACCAGACCTGCCTTCATGAAAATTTGATCAATTCTTCATCTTGTCAATACAAGTAAAATGTTGTTTGAATTATGTAAATCGGTCACTCTGTTCTCTCAAAAACTGAGCTACCGTTTGTGGCACTTTTTGCACCGTATCTTCGAAACGGCTAGACCTGCTTTTGCCAAAAACTAATCAGTACGTCTCCTCCAACAGCAATCGAATGTTTTTTAAGCAATTGAAATTGATTGAAACGTGTTCCCGAAATTGTAGACGAAAATTTGCATCCGCACACACACACATACATCCATTTTTTCTAAGGTATGCCAAAATGTTCAGAAACCTCTGAAACGTAATGATATATGAAAATTTTCATTTTCGATTTTTTTGCGATTACTATAACCTACGGGTATATATATAAATAAATAAATATATAAATCAACTAAAATTCAAATTTTATTATCATTATCGTTTGTGTAAACACAGCCCAGTAATATATAAAGAATACAGAGATTGCAATACCCGATATTTGCGAAATGAACGTTGCCCCAGCTCAAAGCACCCTTCTCTGTAACCGTCAAAAAAAGTGCAACTCCGAAGGAGGAAACTGCAACGGGGGCCACTGCCACTGCCACTGTAATAATATCAATTGTTGTTAATATCAATTAATATCTGGAAAATTTTGGTTAACAGAATACGCTCGTCGCCCAATTTAATAAGCACTTATAAATTTACAGTATGTACCTATAATAATCTATTTGAAAATATTCAAAAGAGTTATTGATCACTTTCCTTAAGGCATGATGCCATGCAACCCACTAGTTAAATAATTGGTAGACTAGCAGACCGGTAGACAGGTAATCTAGTAGAAATGTAAACATGTAAAAAGATAAATTAAATATGCAGATAGATACATTTGTAGACAGGTGAACAGGTAGACAGGTAAATTGGTGGACAGGTAAAGTGGTTGAGAGGACAACTAGTGGATAGACGAATATGTAGATACATATACAGATTGACATATTAATTTGTAGGCATGTAGAACGGTATTACAGCTAAATTGGTTGACAGGTAAAATGCTGATTGATAGGTGAATTGGTAGATAGGTAAGTTGTAAGACAGCTAAATTGGTAGACTAAAACAGGTTTACAAGTATATTGATGGACAGGTAATTTGGTGGACTGGTAAATTGCTGGACTGGTGAATTGGTTGAATGGCAAACAAATTGACGGGTAAACTGGTAGACAGGTGGAGAGGTTGACAAGTGGTCATATGGATAGATATACTAGAAATCTACTGGGGCAGCTAGTAATAATATAAAGCTTGACATTTGACTTAACGTAGATTTTACTGGAATATCAAATAAATACGAAACATGACTCTAATAAGGAGTGTTGGTTCTGCTTATAGCTATGTTTTTGTTCTAAAAAGTATTTGTCATCATTCCTGCATTTGATTGCAATCCAACAAGAGTCGCTTGTCAACACATCAGTCAGTGTAGACATTAGTCATTTTGTATCGCATTAGAAATCATTTTTATACTAATTAATTGACTAATTTACTAACCTCACTTTAAATTTTAGCCGGTTCGACTTCCCTTCCACTATTTCCACAATCAGTCCATACGTATTGGGTGTTTCCAATCTTAGTTTCAACATTCATTTCTCTATGACAAACTCACTCCTACACCAGCTGTAGGAGTTGTAGTACAATTCTCATAAGTCAAAGCTAGAAATAAATTTTTACGTATACACTTTTATTATTTAAATTGTTTGTATATTCATTTATAAATACATCAGTACAGATCCACAGTATCCCAGTTCCATCCTGCATCGAGTTATAGTTCTCATAGTAGGGCTGAAATTTAATAAAAAAAAATTGAATTTAGAATTTGTTTGATTAAAGATTGATTATATTAAAAAGGGAGCAGTAATCGGACATAAAATTAATGAATGAATTAAAATTTGCACCCAAAGACAGTGAACTATTTGGGCATGGACAAAGAATTATGAAACGATTTGCTTTGTATTTGCCAACGACATAACATATATATAATGTTGTTATAATGAATGGCATCAAGAATAATTTTGCAGCAAAATATTTATTTAATTGGTGATGTTGAGACTCAAATTATTATCCTGATTCCGTGGTGAATAGATATTATAAAACAGCCCAAATGGATTTAATTAGAGGTTAAGTGGTTTATAAATATTCTTGTGTATCATTATTTGAGTGGCGCACAGATGGCGCACGAATTTACTTAATGACACCTGTTAGTAACAAATATATGAAACTTTTAATTATTGTGTGCTTTATCTAAATGTTTATATAAAGAGCTAACACTATTAGAGAATTATTTTTTATTGATTTGGAAGCAGTTGCGCTTTTGGGAGCAAAGAAATTCGAAAATGTCCTTGTTGAGGACCACCCTAATATATATAATCAATCAATAAAACCCTTCATAGTTTTTTTTGCCCTTAATTGATATGAATGTGATGCAGCGACATTATATGAATATATATTTACTCAATTAATTACTTACCAGGTGTGGTCGCATTTATTATGTAGAGAAGTAAACAAAATTGAAATAATACAATTTGATTAACAAAATATCGTACCAAGAAAAGAATTATGAAAATTTTGAAAAAAATTGTATGGTTTTCAAAGTTTTTTACATGCAGGATATTAATTTAACTACATGCTAAATTGTTGGATTTTCTTACAATCACAGATTTCTTCCAATTCGTGCCAAACCGCTGCCAAAAAGCGACCAGAAGTGCCAAACACGACCTCTTCATACTAAAAAGTTTCAATTGTTGAAAGGGCCCCTTTGTAATAACCGTCGTCGGAGTTGCACTTCTTTTGTCAGTGCCGGAGTAAGGCACTGAGGGCTGTTGCATCGTTCATTTCGCAAATATCGGGTATTGCAATCTCTATATTCCCTATATATTATTGGGCTCTCTAGTTGCTGCTGACATAATCATTTTTTCCCTGAAAATATTAATAATAACACTAATTATGCAAATATCATTTTAGTTTAATTTCAGTTTGATCTATATATTTACTTATATATATATTTTTTGTATAAAAAATATAAAATATAAAAAATATAAAATATTTGTTTCAATTGAGAAAATTTGCTTATGTATTTATTTAAATATCTCCCTTCCGCCTTTTTGTATTATAAACCAAGAGGAAAAAGCGGAAAGGAGATATTTGACAACCTAATATTAGAGTGGTTCTTAATATAGACATTTTCTTACTCCCAAGGGCTCAAATGGTTCCAAATTGATAAAAAACAATTCTCTAAAAGTTTTAGCTCTTAATATTAACGTTCAGATAGAGCGCAATTCAAATAAACTTCGTATGGAAATAGCATGGAAAAAATTTTGAAAATTAAAAAAAAAAAAATGAATTAAAAGTGAAAATTCGTGTCATTTTTTGTTGAAAAAACTTTGATTGAATTGCGCTCTATCTAAAAGGCAATATTAAGAGCTAAAACTAGAATTGTTTTTTATTAATTTGGAACCATTTGAGCCCTTGGAAGCAAGGAAATTCAAAAATGTCCATAACATCACCCTAATATATATATATATATATATATATATATATATATATATTTAGTTTTTGACAGCGTTTCCAAGATATGGGGCAAAAATTTCAAATAATAGAAAAATCAAATTCAGTTTTTGAAAGTACGGACTATCTTATTATAATGATTCAAAAAAAAACATTTTGCTTGTGTCGATGGTGTTGAAAAATGTTTTTATAAAAAAAATCGAAATTTTCAAAATTTTTAAAAAAAAATCCAATTTTCAAAATTTTTCAGAATTTTTATAAAAATTCAAAAATGTTATTATTTCTTTTTATTAATTTCCTGTTTTATTAATTTTTTATTATTTGAAACACTTAAACAATGGCAAACCTTTTTTAAATTTTTTTTTTCAAACATTTCTGAATGTTTCGAAATTTTTAAAATTTCCAAAACAAGTTTTAAATACTTTTCAGAATTCTAAAAATATCGCAAAAGTTAAAAAAATATAGTCATTTTTTTGGGAAGATACAAAGATTTTCAAAAATTTTCAAAATTTCCATAAAATTCAAACTTTCAATACTTCAAAATTTTGTGAATATACATAAGTTTTCTAAAAATTTAAAAATTCCAGAATTTTAAAAACAACTCAAAATTTATTAAAATATAGAGATAATTTGTTGTGAATAAACATTTGAAAATTTTCAAAATTTTCAAAACTTTTCAGAATTTTAAAAATAACTCAAAATTTAAAAAAA